TATTCATCATGATCAATAACTAACTAAAGGGAGGTTAGGTTGGTTCCATCCATTCATGCCCATACTTCCATCCATTTGTCCATTCATACACCCACCCATCTGTCTATCTATCCATCCATCCATCCATACACACATGCACGTGTGCATCCATTCATGTGAATCCACCCACCCATCTGTCCACCCATCCATCCTTCCATCCATCAATCCATCCATCTTCCCCTCCATCCATCTGTCCTTCCATGCACCCTTGTATCCATCCACATACCCATCATTCATCCACCCACCCACCCATCTCTCCACTCATCCACCTTAAGACTGGTCCATCCATCTGTTCATTAATCCCTCCATCTATATATTCATCACCCCATCCATCCAACCAACAAATTACTGAGCACCTAATCTGTGCAGGAACTATGCTAGGTACAGGGTACTGAGAAATGAAAGAGGAAAATCCTGGTCTTCCAGGAGCTATCAGTCTGGTCCTGCAGGCAGTGAGGAGGCAGCTCCAACAGGACAAGGGAAGAATGTGACAAATACACCCGTGATGTGAGTATAAGAGTCACCGTCCTCCTCACACCTTCCTACTCTGCAGAGGATGCCACCATTCATGGTGTGGAGGGTGTCCACTTTGAAGGTAAACTCTTAAATGTGGAATGATTGAACCAGAGGCGTGTGCAATTATAAGGCTTCAGTCACGCATGGTCAAAAAGCCTCCAGACACATTTCGCCAGGTCCCCTTCTCCTCAGCTGCACACAGGTTGGCAGTTCCCCTTTTTCCTCCACTTTAAATGCTCTCACATCAATTGTGCATGTGACACCTCATGGCTGAACTATGGATGGAGAGATGGGTAGGTGGGTAGATGCACAGATGGGTACGTGAGTGGATGCATAGGTGCATGTAGGTATGTCACTTCCTGAGAGCGCTGACGCTGTAGATAGAAGTGGTTCATATAAAAGTATAAGGAAGAAGCAGGAACATTTCTTCTAGTGTTCTGAACCACTAGAATTAACAGTCTAAAGCCCTAACCCCCAAGACCTCAGAATGTGACTGTATTTGGAGATAGGGCCTTTTTAAGGAGGTGATTAAGGTAAAATGAGGTCACTAGGGTGGGCCCTAATCCAATAGGACTGGTGTCCTTATCAGAAGAGATTAGGACACAGACACACACAGAGGGATGGATGACCATATGAGGACACAGGGAGAAGATGCAGTCTATAAGCCAAGGAGAGAGGGTTCAGGAGGAACCAACCCTGCCACACCTGGATGTTAGAGTTTCACCCTCCAGGACTGTGAGAAAATAAATGTCTGTTGTTTAAGCCCCCCAGTCTGTGGCCCTTTGTTACAGCAGCTTGAGGAGACTGATACACACCCAGCGCTCCAGGGACCCCAAGTCAGCAGGAGAGTGTCTGCATGAAGCAGATGCCAGCTGGTTACAACGACCCTAGTTCCCCTCTAAACTCTCCATCAACTGAGTATTTGATGGAGAACACAGGAGACAGGCTTTATTAGCAAGAATAAAAACTGTACAGAGACTGATCAAGCCTACATTGGAGCTATACATGAACACCAAAAAAACAAAGATTCCTAATTAGGTGGTGTCTAAGAGAGAGAAACAAATGGCTAATTGAGAAATTAATTATTCTGTGAGAAAGTAATTGTTGCGTGCATGAGAGTGACTGGTAGCTCTTAATGGTGAAACTATTCACTGAGGATGTTAAATGCTTTCCTTAAAGCCCAACAAGCTGGAACATTCACGCTTCAAGTAAAAAAAAAAGGCTGTGGATATAGTCGTATAACTTCGTATAATGTATGCTATACGAAGTTATTACGGATCGGGTGCAAAACCTCTAGAAGCAGTGGCAAAGACCATCAGAACAGGTAAGGTGGGCTGCTTGGACATGCTGGAGGTAAGCGAACGCTGCAGGTCTGCTCCCCCGGGCTCAGGTAGCTCAAACCCCATCTGTCCTCCCAGAAGTCACCTAACTCTCACTTCTGACAGCTTCAGAAGCACCACGCAACTTCTTACAAGATTTGTAATTTTGTGTCATCATTTCAGCTGTCAGTATTTGTGTCTTTCGTGCCTTCCTACACTGTGAGGTCCTTTGAGGGCAGAGCTCTGCCCTACTTGTCTTTATATATAACACAGGATCTTGAACCTCACAAAAAATGTCATCTCCATTTGATTTGCATGAACAGACGACCAATAAATATAATTCCTATCTCAATGCTCTTTTGTGATCAGGCATCAGTTATTAGAGGAGGAATTTATATTCTTTACACGGACATGTTCATGTTACTTTAAACTTTTGCAAAACACTGGGTATCTTTAAAGCTTTACATTATAGGTTTTGGTTTTTGTGGGCAATGGACAATCATTTGCTCAAACTTTTAAATCTATTATTCTCAAATTTAGTTTTTCAAGGGTATTCATTCTTGCTGATCCTTGAGAAATTAACCAGTCTCTGGAAAAAGTTGAAAACAACTTTTCAACATTCATATTCTAAAATTGCGCGAGCCTCACTCTTAAAAACACACACACAATAATCCCCAAAATTGCTGGGTTTGTAGTTCAAAAGTGGAAAGCTTCTGGAACCAATTTCTTCAGAGCGGTTATGCAGGCTGCAGGAGGACGAAGCTGTGACAGAGGAAGCATACAGCCCCTCCCCCTTCCTCCTGCTCCCTTCAGTACTGACAGGACCCATTCGCACACTCACACACACTCATACACATGATATGCACATGATGGCTGTTCCTAGGGACACTCTGCACAGCAGAGGAGCTACAAGCCATGGCCACATGTGCCCTCTGCACTGTTAAATGCTCATGACATGAAGCAGAGCAAGAGCCTGTGTGTGCAGAGCCCACCGAGCGCTCAGCCCCAATGCAGCACACAACTGGCCGCACCTCTGCAGCAGCACTGGGAAGCTGGCTTTGAAAACAGACCACAGCTGGCACCCAGTACGTGACTCGCTCGGGATCCACAGTAATAATGCTATAATCATGCTCCTCAGACACAGTTCAGTTCTGTAGGTGGATTATTCATTGGCCTTTCTTAACCATGGGTTCTTGGTGCGAGCCCTGCAGACTGTTAAGTAATTGCAGGGACCTCCTACACAAACACACTCAGAATATCAATTCTGTCGCCTCAGAGCCACGTAAATATTTGATACTCTCAGATAAGACCAACAGCACTCAGTTTATATCCAAATGAAATAAAACCCATTACAGAAGGCTCTTCAGTGTTTGCTTTCTGCAATGGAATCCTTGAGGCTTGAGGTCAGCGTTCAATCTGACTATCACGCCAATCACAGGAGATTCT